ATGTGTCACGCTGCATACTGTATTATGAAAAGATATTCATATGATTACAATTGAGCAGATATTTAAAATCTGAATAAACTATAGTTTTAGATGTGCTTGAAGATGTAGCATTTTCTAGTAGTGCAGCCACCAAAGTAAAACTGGAAGCTAGTGCTTAAGGCTTCCCAAAAAGATTTCCTTTCTATGAATGAAATGGAAATCTAAAGTGTTTTGGAAATCAAGAGTAATGCCTAGTTATTTCCTAAATCCTCTGAATGCCCAATCCATCTATTGCTCTTTCACCTCTTCCTCCTCCTCCTTTCTCCATTTCTTCCAAAGATAATTTGAAAGCAGTCTTTGCAAAAGAAAAGACAAAAAAAAAACATTACTGGACCTAATGTCATGTTTATGCCACTTTAAACCATCAAGCATGTTCCACAAGAACAACATTGGAACCATATCCAAAGCTGGGGTGATATGAGGGAAGTACTCGAACTTCGTAGTTTTCCAACCATCTTTTAACTTGTGGGTTACAGGATAGAGCAAATCTTGAAAGTGTTTCACCACAACAGTCAAACATCCCAGGAAAACGTTCAATAAATCTCAAATGTGCTCTTCTGCTAAGGAATTAATCTGGAATGCCTAAGAATGAGGATTAAACACTCTGATTAGGATGTTAAGAAGAACTAATCCAGGCACTCCAGTGAGATCATGAGGTTTAATATGCAAGCCTTGCTTTTAGAATTTTCATTGCTAGAGGCTATTTGGGATGGAAAACAGACTCTGGCAGCATTGAAGGTGTGGAAGCCTTTTACTTCCATAATATCCTTCCACAAACTATGTTACTATATTAAAAGAGTTCCATGGATTTCTGTCTAGACTTCAGTAATGCCTGGTTTGATTTTGATCAGAATAAGCCTGTATAAGGCCGTTTCTTGAGGTTTGGTTTTGATGCTGTTATTCCCCAGGCTGTTGCACTAATAAGATGGGGAAGGCATCAACTCCACTTTGATGAGGTGTAGCAAGCTCTTAGAACAAAGCCAGCTGAGCTCCTGCATGGAAGCGAACTTTGATCAGCTCTAGAACTAAATGTTCCTTAGTATGAGAAACAGTGTTCCTTCAGAAACTCAGGGAAACATCAGGGAATCCCCCCCCCCCAATTCCCTAAGTAGAGCTAAGATGTATTTCATTTTAAAGTTAATGTTATCTTGATGGACCAGCTCCAATTCTTGGATCTGAATAGTGCAGGCACGAGGCAGGGATTCAGCTCTGGATTCTGGACTCTTCCCCACTGCTGAAAGTTGGAACAGCCTGCAGTTCAGTAGACGGCCCCGTTTGGGCACTTGATAGGTCTGCTGCCACTGTCACCCTAAAATGTCCCATGTTAACAGCTACTCTTGACACCTCAAAGAGCTTCCTTCCAAGGTAATTCTGTGTGATGTAGTCTTGCTGTCATTCTCTTTTATGTCTGCTTTGGGGGAAGATAAAGCAAAAATATTCATTAAAAAGAAATCCAAAAGGATTGTACAGGATGTTGAAAAGCTGTGTTTTACATGGTTGTAATAACAGTCAAGACTTTGGAACAAATTGCTGCATGTGAATTCTTTACTTGCTCTCTGGGAATGTTTGGCAAGTTGCCAGTCTGTCCCCTGGTACGATGAGTTTTCGGGCTAAACTACTCAGATGCCATCACCGGAGGGATGGCAGTCCGAGTGTGATCCATTACTGCTCATCTTGTGGGTTTGGTTTAACAAGTGTTTGGGTTGTGACAATTTAGGCATGGGATAATCCACTATAACCACACTGTAGACAAGCTGACGCTTCAAGGAAAGATTGGAAATGGTTGGATCATTCCTTGCAGTATAGTTGCATACAAACATTTTCTTGGAAATCATAAAATGAAACATGCTTGTCAGCACAATGTTCATGTTTTCAGGCTTATTCTGTAGGAAGATAATAATTTGACTGTGAGACTTTGTGCAAAGGCCAGAGCTGTATCATTCATGTGACAACTGCAAAATTCCCAGTCTTCTCATTTAATGGCAGCAAGCTCTTTGCTTGCTTCCACGCCAGATGGGGAACCATGAACGATAATGTTGATTTCCAACAGGAAACTCGGGTTTCATTACCGAGTTCAGCCTAAGCTCAGTCAGCCACAGCAGCAGGAAAGCCGCCTGACAAATATATGACAAAAATGAAGAATTCCACTCTTAAATGCACAGCGCTGTGAGAACCAAAACCTGGAAGCTTCATGGAATATTTTTAGGTAATTGTCTGTTGGTGGACAATAATGGTTGTTCATTTCCATAGGCAAGTTCCCCAGCTTGAAAATGTTTTTCAGACCTCTGTACAATACAGCTGCCATGTAAAAGTTAATCTGAAATCCTTTCCATGCAATACGTTTTACAATTGTACGCAAATGTTTAGGAACCTGGGATCAATTTTCCCCCCAATAAATCTCTAAGTGAACAGAAGCTCATCCAATCTCTAGATGTTGCAGTGGTAAATCTACCTTTCTGCCAACTTGGTCTATTAGCTGTATGATTCAAGGTCAAGGCCCCACCTTGATCCCCCTTCACCTCCTTTTGACAGAAATAAATTTTCCAGCATTTCCTGTAGCCAGCTAAAAGCCCCTCTCTAATCCCTCTTCTAGCTCAGAAATATTTTTAGGTTTCCTTCCATTGACTGAATGCTCGAGATCTGCCCACAGGTTTTCAATAAAATTCAAGTCTGGGGGCTGTGAAAGCCATTGTAATACTTTCCTCTCTGTTTCCTGCCAGTATTTTATGGTCTGCTGGAGCTATGTGTTTCAAAGCATTGTTTGTCTCAGCTTCTGCATACAATTGCACACTCAACACATATAGTTTGGCTTAATGCTGTTTCTATTCTTGTCAGCAACTTTTTGTGGGCACAGACATAAAGGCAGAGTATGGTCTGTAAACAGGTGTCTACAGTGGCTATAATGTATACACATTCCTGTTAAAATGCCAGGTTTTTGAAATGTTTTTTAAAAAAAACCAGACCGAGATAAATCACTTCAGAAGTTTCTCCACCTTTAATGTAAGCTGTATAATTCAATTGAAACTGAAATCTTTTAGGGGGGGGGGAATAAAACAAAAACATTGCATAAGCGTGTGCATCCCCTTATAAGTAGGGATGTGATTGTGTTCAGAATTAATCACATTCAAACTGATGGTAAAAATACTAGTCACTACACATCTGCCATCAGTTAAAATGACTGGTCAAGCCCATCAAAGGGATCTCAATGTTGGAAGGTATTGCTTAGGAAAAGGGAACCAAAAAAAAATCTCCAAAGCATTGAATATACCATGTGACACAGTGAAGAGAGTTATCAACAAGTCAAGAGACTATGGCACAACAATGACATTATCAAGAATTGGATGTCCCTCCAAAATTGATTTTTAAAAACAAGAAGAAAATGGTCCTTGAGGCTGCCAAGAGACCTAGAGCAATATTAGAGCTGCAGGAATTTCAGGTAAGTACTGGTTGTATACTACATGTGACAACATTCTCAGTACTCTTTATATGTTTGGGCTTGGGGTATGGTGGTAAGATGGAAACCTTTTCTTGCAAAGAAAAACAAAATCTGAGCTTGGCTACATTTTGCAAAAATCTGCATCAAGTATGACAAAATCACGTGAAAAAATGTGCTGTAGGTCTGATGCACTTGAATTTTCTGGCCATAATTCAAAAACCTGTATTTGATGTAAAAACATCACTTGCATATCATCAAAAATATACCATTCCCACAGTGAAGCATAGTGGTGGCAGTATTATGCCTTGAGGCTGCTTTTCTTCCGCTGGAAATGGGGCTTTGGTCAAGGTAGAGGGAATTATGAATAGTTTCAAACATCAGTCAATTTTGACACAAAACCTTCAGGCCTATGCTGAAGATGAAGATGAATTGTACACTTCAAAATGACAAATGACCGAATGCATGCCTGGAAATAAAATAAAAAAACTATCAGAAGATTAAAATTTTGGAGTGGCTCAGTCAGAGCCCAGACCTGAATCCAACTGAAAATTTGTGGGGTGACGTGAAGAGGGCCTGTGCACAGGAAATGCTCTCACAATCTGATAGATTCGGAGCGCTTTTGCAAGGAAGAATAGGCAAAGATTCCCAAGGCAAGATGTGCCATGTTGATAGACTCTTACCCAAAAGACTGAATACTGTCAATGAAATCAAAAGGTGCTTCAATGAAGTTATTAGTTTAAGGGTATGCATCTTTATGCAATCAAATTATTTTATTATTTTCCCCCTAAAATATTTAAGTTTGTTTTTCAACTGAATTCTACGTTATATTAAAAGTGGAAAAAGTGTGATTTATCTTGGGCCTGATTTTTTTTTTTTACATCTCAAAACATGGCATTTTAATAAGGATGGGTAGACTTTTTATACTCAGTGTACTTTTACTGTGTAAAATCACAGCTACATTGATACAATATGGGGTTAACTTACAGAAGATAAAAATAAGGGCATGTTTAGCAAAAACATATTTAAAAAGAACAAGCTATTATTTCCTGAAACAGAACGGAAGTTAAAATGTGTAAATAGAAAAGTAACATGAGCCTATGTTAAGGAGAAAACCCTTGATAAAATCAAATTTCCCTGTTAAATATTTGTTGCTTCATTCAGCTGTAAATATCTCAAATTTCATATATTTTTGAAAGATAAGATTCATGATTTTTTTTGAGTCATTTTATGTATTTTCTGCATTTAATTGCCAAACTTTGGTAGCCAAAATGTGTGGCATGCCTGTTTTTTTAACTTATCAACCCGGCCCTTCAGTTTTTGGAAGTTAAAATATTGCGGATGAACCTAGATAAGTGTGTGTTTATAATACAGGCAAATGTATTTAACTCCAGACACTCCCATTTTTCTAACATGCTTTTACAGTACTCACATGTGCTTCTTCCACCCTCCCTCCCCAAATTTCTCTTGTGCATAGTTTTATGCAGGTGAAAGACTTTTGGGGACTGCAATCCTATATGTACAATTCAACTGATTTACCTTTGCAGAAACACAGCAGGGATTCCCAAACATGGATGATTGTTGTGTAACAATGCCATTTGTTTACAAAAGTTATCATTGTGTTTTTAAAAGGATCCAGTTCCAGTATTTTCATGAACAGATTGAAAAATATGGTTTGGGGGGAGGGGTTGCAGATTGCCAGCGGACCAGAGGTAGGAGGGCAGATTGCTTGAAAAACAGAGAGGGAAGGAGCCTGATGTATGCAGGCTTTTATGCAGGGGAAAGGAGTGGACAGATTTAATGGATATTCTGGTGGGAAAGCATTGTGCCTTCCAAAACAAAATGCTGAAGTTTGGTTATCTGAGGGGTAAAGAATGGTAGTATAAAACATTTATAGCATAGCATAATGGCCTATTAGAACTGTTTTTTCTCCTAAGGAATAGGTACCATGACCCTGATACACTGTAAAATCAGCTATACTAGTTAATGAGAAATAGAATAGTAGTGGCTTTAACTGCTTCACCCTGAGCACCATTTTTTTTTTAAAAAGCAGTATTAAAAAATAACCAAAGTTCTTCAATTACATGGGCACAGCAGTGGCAGAAATAAATGAACAGCATTCCAATATCTCAAGACAGAATTTCCCTGACTGCTGAATTTTAATAGCATAGAGACTTTTGAGACTGTTAAGTCTAAAGGCTAAATTACTATGCCTTAATTAAGCATTAAAAAATACTGTGGTTTTAAAATACACAAGGGGAAGATCCAAACCTTACTTTAGTTTTGAACTGAGCTTGTTTTTCCATGTTACTATCTGCCAAATGTAGAGCTGATAAACCAGGAATAGTGAAGACACCAATAATGATAGCTCTTGAGAAAAGATGTATGCTGAAAAATCCCTTTTGAGGTTGCATTATGGCAGATAATTAATTATGCATAGTTAACAAGAGACTGTTTAACAGCCACATGTTGGACTTGATCTGGTTTATTAATTAGATTTCAATTCTTTAATTTGGGAACATTCCCTTTTTCATGTAAACAGATGCTTAAAGTTTGTTAGCCATTACAGTACAAGCAGCGATGGAACCCAAGGCAAGAATAGAATTTGTGAAGTGGCTGCCTTTCTGCTTTGGCCAAATTCTCTGGATAGCTCATAACCCATTAAAAATGGGCTATTTTAACAAAGGGGAATAGCGAAGGAAGAAATCCTGCAGCTTTATAGTTACTCCCTTAGGACATTCCTGGGCATCAATCTTTGGATAGAGCTGCAGTTATCAATTTCTGTTAAAATTCGCCTTGCCCTGCTAAGGTACTATAAAAATTAGAAAGCATTGCAGTCAGTTAATTGTTTTTTTTTTTAATTATATGGATGGAAATCAATGGATCAAGCTCCTATCTCCCATAATGGGAACTTAGTTCTCGGAACAGTGAAAACAATCCCGAAAGACTAAGCTTTTTGAATAAGCTGTCTGTAGACCTTATGCTGTGTGCATTGTTCAATGTTTCATCTTGATACCACTATTTTAATAAACGCAGAGGCCTCTACCAATATCTGGTCAACATCCACAATGAGCCATTCTGCTATTAAGGCAGCCTAGATCCAGGGTGTTGAGAAAGACTGATCAAATAGTAAATTATTCCAGAAATGAAACAGGTATTTTAAGCAATTAAAAGAAATGAACCAATTTTTACTTTTTAAGACATAAGTTCCAGCGGCAAAAATGGGTGGACAACGAAACTGTTTCTTGGGGTTTAAATATTGATAACTACTTTCATCCTGAGATATAGTACAGGGAGTTTGACTCAAAGGAACATAAACCCCAAAAGGTACAGTAGACACACCAACACTTTTGAGAACAAAATCGCTTTTAATGACATTTAAGGCTAGGTTTGGGTTCTCTTTAATACTCCCAACAGTTTTTAAAAAATCATGCTTGTTATTTAATTATTTGGCTGGTTTTCTTTAATTCAACCAGTGATGAGGGATCTGGTTGTGGTATCTTAACCAGAAGAGCTTTGAATTACAGCAAGTACAGTCACAGACATACAGAGGAACTGCTCCCTGATAGCAGGATTCGGAGCTGTGCATGCAATTACGTAGGCACAGCGGCTACAAGGGAGAGTGGAGAATGGAGCAGGAACACGGAAACAGGCTCCCATGTCTCCAAAGACCAGCTCCACCTCCAAGTAGTACACAAATTTTGCAATAAGCACACCAGGGAAGACAGCCTTGACACAGGCAACAAGCATACAAATCTTGGGGAGGCGGGTGGGGTGGGGTGAGAGAGACCATGCCAACAACAAACAGGAAAGCCTACATACAAGTCAACCTTTCTTTCCCACTGGATAATTCTTCCCAATCAGCCTGTAAGACACAAAGGTTGTGGAAAATAAAATACTAAAAAGCTTCCCGTGCCTCCTAAAGATATACGGAGGGACTGTTTTCCCTTTGATGCAGCAGGGAATGAGTAAATTCAGAGTTGGAAAATCCAAGATCCTCCAGTCTCCATCAACAGGTTCAGGTAGAGTCAATTTATACATTTACAGGTTCTCCCAACACCATAAAAAGGAAGAAGAAAAAAGGCAAATTTCTAAAAACTGGCAGACATCTTTCCCTCCACCCCTTCTGAAGTACTCTTGAGGATACTGTCCAAGCCTGAAGAGAATGTCCACCAGATTGACCATTTACTCTCTGCAAGAATGACAGTTGTCCAGTTGTTCTAGCACAGGGGAGACAGTATTAGCCAAAAGTTAAGAGGGGCATAATTACTTCCCTGTTTACACAGAGATAAACCAATGGGCGGAGACATGAGGAACTAGTTACAGATATAATTATTTTATGCTTGTCCTGCCCACCTTGAAAATGTGAGCATATTTTTCCCCTTTGTCCCCCACCCCCCCGTGGAATGACGGGCAAGTGAATCTTCTTGGCAGTACCTTCCAAAGAGCCTTGATCTTCTGCTGACAACAGCTAGCCTTCTTTCAGATGGAGCCCTTCAAGCCGTGAATTAGAGTTATCTCCCTGCCTTACATGGCTTGCAGCACCAAAGTGGGAAACCAGTACACTTGCAGATGCATCCAGCTTTGCCCTTGGTGAGCTGAGCTCAAGCTGATTGAAGAAACGAGATGGGTCTTTCCCTGCATGAGCCTCCTTTCAGACACTCTCAATCAATCCCTTGGAACAATGACGCAGATGGCAAAACCAGTGTCAAGACCACCAAATAATAACTTACTGCAATTCCTTATGTGGCTTTGTACACACACTGCCAGGAAGGGGGGGAAGGGGAGAGAAGGCAAAAAAGGGAGGGGGATTTAAACAATAAAACAGTTCCCTGCAGGCCTTGGTGAATTTTTAAAACTGTCCATTTGGAGCCCTTTTGGGGGAGGGCCTGCAGACACCACCCCATCTCTCCTTTCCCCGAATCCATTTGATTATATTTTCACATCGCCTCCATCTCCGTGCTACACACAGTAGAAAGCCTTCCAAGTCACAGTCTGGTTCGCTGCAAACAGAAAAAAAGCAATGAGTGAAATAAGCTGAAAAACCTTTACAAAAAGTTACTTATTTATACAATTCAACAACACCAGAGTACAAAAGTTAAAATATCAATATAGTACATGAAATAATAAAACTATCAGTACAGAAAAAGAAGTAATCAGAGGGATCAATTAAAAATGCCTAGGGTGGTGTGTGTGTGTGTGTGTGTGTGCATTTATTCAATATGGTCCTGAAATTATTTCAAGGTTAATCCCAGTCACACATTCCTGAAAGGGGAAATCAAGCATTATATGGTATATATATATAATTTTAGGACAATATTGAATAACTACACACATACATATATATTTAAAGAAAAGCTTGGTTAAATGGATGCCAGAATTTTGTTAACCAGGAGTGGGGGATAAATCTATGCACCAGTGTGTGTTTGCTTCACAGGATGGCAGTTCTGAATCCGATTTGTTTGCTGCTCTTGTTCAAGAACTGACCTCAATAGTTTGATTGTGGATAACAGACCCCCAGGCAGTGTAGCACTTAACATGGTATGCAGAAGCAGTAGCTCAGCAGCAAGTGGTAAATGCTTAGAATAGAAGCATTATGCTCTCCTACTGTATCATTTCACAGAGCAGCACATTTATGAAGTTGCAAAATGAGAGCCAGTGGCAACTTACAGTGCCGAGTATATTTTGCATCCGCTAAACTTATCTAGTAACTATGAAAATCCTACATTTGGTTTTCACATAAACCAAATTTAGATTTCATTCAAGCCATCTTCAGGCTGTCAAGTCTACCTTTCTCTCACCTACTGGTGCATGGGTAAATAGTCTCCAATGTCCAGGGAGTGGGAGAGGACTACAATTGCCTCTGAGGGTTCCAAACTGTTACACTAATTAAGTCTTTAATTGTGATAGTTTAACCGTATGCAAACAATGGATCTCATTAAGATAGCACTTCCTTGATCGCTGCCAAAAAAAGCAAACTGTCCTTTGCTGATACTGTGGAAATGTACTTACCAGTGTAGTTCATTGTTTAAGTAAAATGTGACTGTAGTACTATTTACTAACCTCAAGATGATGCTGTGATTACATCAATGTTTTGATTTACAAAACATGGTGATTGCAGAGAGAGTAAGAATTATAAGCCTTCATATTCTTGAGTTCCCCAGGTTAGGGAAATAAATTCATTGGATTTGTAGCATAGGTTCATTTGCTTACAGTACAATGTTGTAGATGCAACCCAATCTATATTATCGTCTTCTGTTTAGATATAAGAACTCTTTCAGATGAACAAGCCTGCTGGTGTCACTGTTTATTTATTATGCAGAGCACAAAGGCTCTCAAACTTCTGTTTACACGCCAGCCCTGCTCTGTGAAATGTCATAGGTACACACTAACTTTCGTCCACCATACATTTGAAAGAATAGCTGTTTCTCTCCCAGCCATTGGTGATTTGATACAATAAGAGAGAACAGGCTCATCAACCAAATTGGTACAGTGATTAAGGCATCAGGCTAGAAACCAGGAGATCATGAGTTCTAGTCCTGCCTTAGGTAGGCATGAAAGCTGTCTGGGTGTCTTTGGGTCACTCACCCATCTTAGCCCAAACTACCTAACAGGGTTGTTGTGGGGAAAATAAGAGTACAGAGTATAAGAATACATTACATATGCCACCTTGAGTTGTTTATAAAGGTAGGAAACCAAAGAAACTAAATGTATTTGATTTGGGTATATACATGCCTAGTTTATTATTATACAATTGTATCACAGCGGCCAGTTGTTTCGCCGGATTTGGCATTGGTTACTAGTCGGGCCCCACCCAGGGGCTAGGACGTCGTAACGTATTTTCGTAATATGCGTGCAGATCCAAGCAGTGCGGCTTTTTGCATTTGACTGATGGTGATTTTTATTATTATTATACAATTGTATCACAGCGGCCAGTTGTTTCGCCGGATTTGGCATTGGTTATGATCCAACTATGTGGCAGTGAGTCAAATGCCTTTTTGTAATCAATCCAGACCATATTCAAGTTCATTTTTCTGATCTTACCATTTTTTTAATATCATTTTATCAATTAGGAGCTGATCTTTTGTGCCCCTGCTCCTTCTTTTGTTGCCTTTTTGCTCTACTGGCAAGATGTTGTTTGTTTCCAAATAATCCATAATGTTATCTGCAATAATGCCTGTGAGTAATTTGAAGGTTGTTGGCAAGCATGTTATATTATTATTATTATTATTATTATTA